TACATGTTACATTCTCCTTATGTAAAAATAAGCACAAGTCATTTCTATATGTATTGCATGATATGGTTATAAAAGGCTATTGCTCATCATTTCTTCTGTCAATTAAGAAGATAAAATCCCTTTAGCAGAATGAAACAAAGAGTCGGTATAAAACTTTAAGTATTTAGAAATCAAAGAAATAAGCTCCTGTACGAAACTCTTTAATACACACTTTGCCACCGGTTAATTTTAGAATCCCGCAATTTTAATAATTTCCGCTGGAACAAATTCCAAGTGAAATGTGCCTACATGTTAACATTTAAGATTTACTTGACATATGGCGTACGAACTAATTTATGAACATGGTATTATAAGGTTTGCAGTTCTTATTCATTTCAAATATTTCTTTGCATATGCACAAACAAGGAAACATTTTTTTTTAAGCTCTTGTGATAAATTTAGTTTTAACTTAAATGGCTTAAATGTAAACTTAGACATCGAGAAATAGCATTCATGTTTTATAATGCACTAATTTTAACACAACCTTTTAAACGAGCACTTTGTTCCCTAAATTATTCTCTTAAAGATGTTTGAAATTAGAAATAAATGAGGTTGTATACTTGAAGGATTTTGTCAAAAATAAGCTCATGTAAAAAAATTCGTTGTCTTTAATAAAAATAATACACAGTTTTTACATTTATTATATTAAAGTATCATGAACGTTAAGTTGAATTGGTTTTTCATTAAAAAAGAAAAGTCATTGCATTCATATAAAATAAGAATTCTTTAAAATATAAACTCCGCAGACGATAGAAGGCACACGATGGTTATCTGATGAGGTTTATTATAAAGATTACCCTTTGCACAAACACAATGGCTACTTTAGGCAAGGATAAAGTATTGAAAAGCATGGGAACTTTTAATTTAAAATGTTTTGGTAATATTCAACTTATAGAAAGTATCTCACATTTCCAGGGATTAACTATGCACAGAATTGTGCATATCGTGATGGAAAGACATTTTATATATTTTTTAAGTGAAATATAAAATTTAGTTTTATAACTTATTAGTATATATTATTAACGAAAATAAAGATATGTTCTTAAAGCATTGCGTCCTCTATAGATTAACACATTGCTTTTGTTAACAACTCCTATGCATTTACTGGAAAATTTGCTATTCCTCCAATACAGTGATTACAGATAAGTATTATTTTTTATTATATACAACAGATATATCGCTTCTATCTCTGGGGCATTTGTAAATAGTGTAAGTTGAAATTTTTTTTTATATATATTAATTTTTTTAATGTCTTTTAATGGGTGTGAGGGCAGGGAGTGATGAACGTTCCTTGTCAAAAACGCTCAAATGTGCACTGTTCCTATGTATTATAAGTATATGCTAACCCTTATTGAAGAACACATAAAAATGATAAAATATATTATGTCTGTATGACATTTACGTTTTGTGTAAAATATTAGCTATGTACCTTGGTGAAATATGTAAATGTTTTTTTATCATATTTTAATTAAAATGAAACATAGTATACCGTACAATTTTTCTAAATTATACAAAATAGATTGTTCTATATGAATATCGTTAAAGTATTATTGCAAATATTACCTTAAATTTACAAATAACTTGACCCCATGCTGAAGTAATTCATTTAATAACAGTACTCAGTAAATGGAAAAGTCATAAGTAATGGGTACAAATATGACGCTCATTAGGTTTATTAAAACGTGTCTATAGAACACATGTTATAAATCTTTTTATAGTCATTTTAATTACTTTCATATCATTTTGCAATGTATATATTTATAAATATATGTTAAGACATAGCTGATGACAGAAAATTTTCATTATTTTACTTTTTGGGATTTTTTTAGACTTTTTGGAATGTAGCAAAATATGAGATATAGAGATACATGCAATAATAATAATGTATTTTTTATGATATTCAATTTTTTGTTATATTTTTGAAATAGACAAATTTGACGTTGCTCTATTTAATAGCGATTTTATGCAGATTGTTGCTAACTGGAATATCATAATCTTTATTATTTAGGAGTGTGGTGTTCTTTTCCATTTTATAACATATTTTATAAGTTCAGTTTCATATAATTCGAACTAAATGATGAATAATAAAAAAGGAGATTATATCCATAAGGTTGCTTTCAAATTTGCATAGAAAAATTAATGTAAAAAAAAAAAAAAATGATAACTGTTCTAAATTCATAGGTAGAATTTTTTCTTATGAAGTCAAAATGAGTACCTGATTATAACCACATTTTTGTGTAAGAATTTTTTTAAAAAAAAGTTAATGATGCTATGGTGCTTTTTACTTTTTTTTAAGTTAACTGATTTTTATGATAATTTTAATGGGAGGAACGAATCATAAATATTTTTTTATGTATGATTTAACAGAATAGTTCGATGTGCCTTTTAAGACAAACCGTTCATGGGGGGAATTGAACTATATCTGTGCACAGAAACTTAATGAATTATGCTTAATTATGAAAAAAGGGTACACACATAAAGACGTAAAATGGAAGAAATGTTATGGGAAAGGATGGAAACTTTACATACCCATGGCGGTAAAATATTGTATACAAGAAAAGGTTATGTATCTCATGTTATAATTTATTGTAAAATATGTAAGTTGATATTTTTAATTATTTTGTTAATCCTATCATATGCACGAAGAAAAATGATTTTTAAAATAAAAATGACAATTTAGCTAAATGTAATAAGAACATTATGCTTGTACATATATATGCATTATATATAATTTAAGGGGACATCCTTTGGATAATCAATTATAGAAAAAAATGTGCCTTACAATTACAAATAAGCCATCATTCCTGTAAGTATTGGCATAAGGCTTACGTGCCATGTTCCACATAGGGGATGTGTGCATTTATAATAAGACATAATAATGACATTTTGGATTGCAATAGTTACGCGAGTAATAACAAATTAAAAAAAATATATAAATTTTCGTTTAGAAAGGTGTATATAATCTTTGTTTATAAAATCTCCTGTTTCGTAAATACGAATGCGAACAATATTTATTAAGAAAAAGGATGTAATTAACTGTCTAGCAGCTAAATCTTTGATTAGACGAGCATGCATTTAAAACGAATGGCATAAAAAGGTATGCGCGAAAAAAGTTTTTTGTTTTATGGTTAATGTTGTATGCTCATAGGAACATATCTAAGATTAAAATAAATGTTCATTCGGATACTGTAAAAGGGTTCATTCTATGTTAAAAAAAAAATTTATTCCTCCAAGATTTCATCTTAAAGTTTTTCTTTCATTTTAAGATGATGAATTAAAGTTACAATAGCTTGTGTGTTTTATTAATAGAAAAATGTTTTTATATATTTTACAACAATACAGCATAAATATTGACACACCAAATTTGATTTACTGTTCCTTTTGCTTATATGCAGAATATATATATGTAAATTTTAGTGATAACCAATGCTTTCCGTATTTGTAAAGAGAATGGTTTCGTTTTCATGTCAGTTGTTTAAATTTGTTTTGGACCATTTATATATATTGTTTGGAAGCTTCTTTGATTTGTTCAAAAATGGGGAAAAAAAAGGTGCGAAAAGTGCTCAACCATATATATGTAAGCGTCTTAAAGTGCAATTTAAAAAAAAAAAACATAAAAATGTAAAGAGCTTGTAATCAGAAATTCGATTTATTCCAATATATTTAAAAGAGGAATGAAACATGTGATTCCACACCCCTCAATTACAATCATATTTTCAGCAAAATATTTTTTAAATTCATAACCTTCATAAAAGCAAGCATAAAGAGGTTCTCCCAACAAAAGGGAATTTTTTTTTTTGTGGGGTTTCAGAATAATAAAGAGGCTTCTATAACATATTATTCCCCTTATTAACCACTTTGAGTAAGCTTGAAAAATATGGATGTATGCGAAAATGTACATGGGAAGTGGGCGGGTCGTATTGTAAGCACATATGCATAAAATATATGTTTTCAAGTATAGGAACAAATTACAAGAAAAAAAAAAAAAGTATATACTCATAAGTAAATAAATAATAAATATATATATTCATGCGTATATATACATGCATGGCACAATCTATCATAAAAAAAAAAAAAAACTGAAAAAAAATTTTCTCATGGAAAAAAAAAAAAAAATAAGTCCAAAATATATAAGATTTACGAAAAAAAACGAAAAAATAAGAATGAAAAAAAAGTAGGTATTTTACATATGTATATAACAATATATATTTGACATACATAACCAAAATAAACGAATTTAAGCAAAAGAATTAAAATACAAAGGAAATAAAAAAAATAAAAAAATTGATGGAAGGTTAAAAAGCCCAAAAAATTGAGAGGAAATTCCCCCAATCAGTAATTTTTCGTTTACAGAAGTTTGAGAATTTATAAACAAAAATTCTGAAGATGACGAAAAATTAAAATTAATCCAAATTGCAAATAATTGAATAATATATGGAAGAACAAAGGAATAAATGGGTGAATAAATGAATATAAATAAATATGTGCATTTATATTTTTCACCTCCTGTAAAATTAAAAAGGGTTATATATATGTATATATATATTTGCTCCAAGGGCATAAAAAAATATGTACCTATTTTTCTTCTCCCATTTTTTAAGACCTTTTGTTATTATCGAGCATATATTTTGTTAATATAAGCAGTTATTATAATTTTGCATAAAATAATAATTGCATAGTTTTTGTATTGTATTGTAACGCCATGTATGTATAATATATACTTACTTCTTCTTACTGCCGATAATGCGTGTATAAAAAACGTTTGCGTTGTTTTATTGTGGACCACTTTTCCCATCCATGCACAATTTATTCGTCTAGCATACGTATAAACCGTATTAAAAAATAGTTTTATATGTATGTAAACTCAAGTTTTCGGGAAGCATATATATATATATATATGTACATATGTGCCCCCGAATTCTTTCACATAAAATATATTCATTTCATCAAAAAATAATAAAATGAAAAGTGGACAAAATGAAAAAATAATGGACTACTTGTCTTGTCCCTTAGATGATGTAGTTAACAGAGAGAAAAAAAGCGGAAGGAATAGCTTTCTAAATATAAATAATTCCAGAAAAAATAATTATAAAGCTAGCTTTTTTAAAAAAAAAGACCTAACACAAAGTAGTTCAGGTTATCGAGGTAGAGGTGGAGGGGGTGGAAGATCAAGATTTACTAGTAGGCCTGGAAGTTTCAAAAAGCCGTTTTTTAGTAATAGATTAATTAATAAAAAATTTAATAATTACAAAAATAAGAAATTGTACACAGGAGGAAGGGATTATTTTAAAAGTAGGCCAAGCAGTTATAATTCACATTATACGTATGATAATCATAAAATTCCATATAAAAATAAAAACTTTTTCAATAGAAGAAACATTAATAATATTGTTAAATCACCCGGAACTACATATAGGGGTAGTAGTAGTAGTATAGCAAAAATTAAACCAAGAAAAATATTTAAGAAAGCAGCTCCACCACCAAGAACTACGGTAATTAGTAGCAATTTAAACAGCTATCAAAGTGTGCACGCGCCAAGACCTAGATTTAACAATTTAAATATATCCCTATATCGTAATAAGAGAGTCATTACTGCAAATAATAATATCATTAAGTCTACAACCAATCCTTCCTTAAAAAGAAGTAATGTCAGCACAGTGAACAAAAGTAAAGTTGTTAGAAAAGGAATACAAAAAACTACTATTAAAACGAAGACAAGAAAAGGTGTTACTGGATCGAAATTTAAGCCATTAAATAAATACTTTTTGTCAAAAATTAAAATTGTTACTTCATTAAATAAAATTCCATCCCCTTTAAAAGAGCAAAAAGACACAGAGGTTAATCTCCCTGAGTCTCTGAATAATCCGAGTGCAAGAAAAGATTAAAAATTTCAGTTTATTTTGTGGTCTGTTTAAATATTTTAACAGAAGAGGCATAGAAGTAGGAGAAAGAAAAAAAAAAAAAAAAAAAAAAAAAAAAAAAAAAAAAAAAATTTAAATAAAAAAAAAAAAAAAAAAAAAAAAAAGTAGTTAAAAAAATTATAAAAAAATGGTGAAAAAAAAATATAAAAATTATAATAAAAAAAAAAAATAATAAAATTTTAAAACAAAAAAAAAAAAAAAAAAAAAAAAAAAAAAAGAAAAAAAAAAAAAAAAAAAAAAAAAAAAAAAAAAAAAAAAAAAAAAAAAAAAAAAAAAAAAAAAAAAAAGATGATGAAGGAAAAAAAAAAAAAAAAAAAAAAAGAGTTAACAAAATGTTGAAAAAGGCGTGCATAGAAAATATGCAAATTGTGATAAAAAAATATAATGTTAAAATTGTCCTAAAAGAAAAATAAAACATTTAAAAAAAAACGTAATTTTTAACCAGACTTATACCTGCACACGCACCCTCATCACCTGGCATTAAATTACAACATATAATATTAAAAAAAAAAAAAACATCGAATAAAAGCTGAAATGCCTGTAGTATTTTTAATATTCCTTTTACCACATTTAATAACAGCATCATGTAATTATATATGCATAAACGCATTTAGACAACTTTAACAAAAATATTTCCATAGGAAATGTTATACGTGCAATATATATATATATATATGCATAACCAAAGAGCAATTTTTGTTTATGACTAAAATTAAATAATTTTCCCCTAAAAATTTAAATTAAAAATAGGTATCTTTTTTTTTTAGTAATTTTTTCTAATCCCTTTTAAATTATGGGTGGAGAGGAGGAAAGGAGGAAGTTGAGAAAGAATGCATATATTGAATTATGCAATTGAATAAGTTGTGATTGCATTTTGAAAAGGATTATCTGAACGTTACCATGCTGAGAGAGGGAGAAAATAAGTAGGGTGGTAACACAACATGTAAAATATTCCATAACACAAGGAAATGCTTTTTTTTACCTTTGATGAGACTTATTCACATTCACCACATATATTCCGAACTATGCTTACGCTGTGACCCAAATGGAAGGATGAAAAAATAGAAGTAGCTTGTTATGTAATGACATTTATGGTAATAATTTATTTTTAAATATGAATTATTATCATTTATATTCCTCTCCCCCCCCCCCCACACACACACTCGAAGATACGTTGCTATTTTTGATTAATGCATTCGTTAAAGGGAGCATGGATAATAATTTTTTTTTTTTTTTTTTAACAAAATTTCCTTGAATTTTTATACAATAAAGTGACCAACGCTAATGTTGCAGATGTGTTGAGGGGTGTTACGGGAACGAAGCTTATCCCATTACATTACACACATAACATCAGAAATTGAGTAATCATGGAAAATGTTAGAAGTACGAGTAGAAAAAAAAAAAAAATAGAGAACAGAGTGTGTAATTAAATTTTGAATGAATTTCAAAGTGATATAAACCGAGAGGGGGAAAAGGAAAGATGGAATGTATAACGAAAATGGCCCATTGAATAAAAGTTATTACTTTGGGTAGCACAATAAAAACGTATACATATAAAATATGCATACATAATATATAATGTTTTTTTACGAACCAATACTGATTTTATTTTTATCTTCAAGCATAATAACATCATATATATGTCTATGTCCCGGAAAAAATGAATAAAAAAAAAATAGAAGTTTCATTTTTTTTTTTAATTCTTTACAGATTCATCAGATGTGTATGTAATTTATAATTTAAATAGCTTTTTTCGGATTTTTAAATTATGCTTTGCTATTTAAAGAAATTGCATCCAATATATTTGAAGATGCGTTTTTGCAACAAAAATTCCCTTAATTTCAACTATTTGTGGGTGTTTGAAAACGAACCAATCATGGATAAACTTGAATATATATATTTGTGTGTGTATATTATGTATATGAATGCGTTTTTTTAGTTTTTACCAAGAATTATGTTTGTAACATTTATATCGATTTACAATTACCATTTAATGTTTCCATTTAGGTAATAATTTAATTTGTCCATATTATTACCCCACACACACTTGCTGAAATTAGTTTATTTGTCGACTAATATATGTAGTAAAACATAATTTGTTACTAATTTTAAAATTATTTTTCTCCCATTCTGTTGAAAAAAAAAAAAAAAAAAAAAAAAGAAGAAAAATGAAAAAAAAAAAAAGCTCCATTAAATTTTGTCTAGTTTTGTTTAGTTTTTCTTAATTTTGCTTTACAAATAGAAACAACTCTTATAAACATATACGTGCATTTGTTTGGCATGATTTAATTCTTAGCCTTCTTTAGAAAATTTTTTTTTTGATATATTTTTTTGCAGTTTTTTGTTTATGTCAGATGCAAACTTGTGCATCATTTTATTGTAAATTTTGCTTTTTTCCCCAATAATTTTAAGATGCATGAACAAAAAAGAAAAAAAATGATACACTTTTTTGGTTAAATAATTATGTATCCTTTTTTGGTTAAATAATTATGTATCCTTTTTTGGTTAAATAATTATGTATCCTTTTTTGGTTAAATAATTATGTATCCTTTTTTGGTTAATTAATTACGTATCCTTTTTTGGTTAATTAATTACGTATCCTTTTTTGGTTAATTAATTACGTATACTTTTTTGGTTAATTAATTACGTATATTTTTTTGGTTAATTAATTATATATACTTTTTTGTTTTTAATATACCAAAATATTACTATTACCACAACACTATTTGCATGAACCAAAGTAAAAAAATAATGTAATAGCAAAGTGCACACTTTTTTTTTTTTTTTTTTTTTTTCTCACCAACTATTTAATTCTTATAATAAAAAACATGTTCAGAGAAATGCATTTTTTTTTTTTTTTTTTTTTAAAAGAGATATACAAAAAATATATGACACAAAACTACAGGTTGGGGTAGAGGATATTTCGTATTTCATATAGTGACAAACTAAATGAACCTAAAAAATAATTTTTAACAAAAATATTATGTTAACAAAATTCGATTTTTTTATGTCTTCAAATTAAAATAGAATTGTCGAATTGTTTAAACCTATTTATACGTATTTTGGAGAAGTATATAACAAATAAGGTTTTTTTTGTTTTTTTTTTTTTTTTTATTTTTGTTTTATATAATCCCTATAAAGTATCATCCCTTGAAAAATTAAAAATCATAGGATTCATTAGGGGCATGTATTGGATTTATTTTTCAATAACTATTGAAGATCAAAAAAAAAAAAATTATCATCAGAAAATAAAAATTTACAGCCATTTGCACTTCCCTTTTCCATCATATTAAACACACATTTCAAAGTTGCAGAAAAGAGAAAAATTAACCAAAAAGGGGAAAGTGATAAATTTTCCTACATATCGAAGCATCAAGCTGTCACATGGTGAACAAATTTCAAGGAATGGTGGTATTTCTGTCCCCCGTTAGAGAAAAAAGCGGATAAAACAAAAAATTGCATGAAATAGGAAAGGTAAAGGAAACTTTCTGAGGAAATGCACAACAGAAACTTTTTTTTTTTTTTTTTTTTTTTTTTTTTTTCTTGTTCTTAATTTATTCCTCTCCTTCTCAAGGTCTCATTAATTATATAGGAGCTATTCATTATTCATTTGTGGCCAAACTCTTGATATAGACGTTGATATACTGAAATATTTAGGAGTTCAGAAAAGAACCGATAATTACTAGCTAAAAGGAGTGGTCATTTGGCCCTAATAAAAGAATCGCATATACATATGTACCTATATAAATACGGTATTATATTTATGTATATCGTTTAACACATGTATAGGGGACCCGATTTTTAGAAGAGTTTTTTAGAGAACCCCATATCTTTTCATCAAAATAATTTTTCAACGCAAAGTGGGAGATTTTATTTTGTATTATTTTATTTTATTTAATATTTTTTTTTTTTTTTGCTTTTGCATTGGGAGGTGGGGGAATTACACCTTCAATTAACGTTAACTTGTACATATGCAGATATGTAGATTTTTTCGCACATGTGTCCAAAAACTGTACGATTGTTTATACACGTTAAGGTGGAATTTTCTTTTCAGAAGGTGTCGAACAGGGTGTGGACGTTGTCGAATTGGATGTAGAAGTTGTCGAATAGGGTGTGGAAATTGTCGAATAGGGTGCAGAAGGTGTCGAGTGGGGTGTAGGAGATGCCCTGTGGGGTGTGGAGGATGTCGAATAGGAAGCAGAAGGCCATGCAGATGTGGAGTGTAGCATATAACAAAGACACGGAAGAACCCCCCTTCCCCCCCCCCCCCC